TGAACTTTGATTTTTTTTCTTTTTCCTCCATCCTAGTGTGTGTGTGTGTGTGTGTGTGTGTGTGCGTGTGTGTGTGTGTGTGCACACGCATGTGCATGCATTTGTGCACCGGCCCATGAAAATTAAAGAGTCCCTCTGCCAAAATATAAATAAAAATAAAAATAAATCAAACCTGAAACTGACTTACCCAGATATTCACAGCAATTATTTAAGAAATGAAAAATAAATTTATTTAGTTAATTTATTCATTGCATTTATACCCTGCCTATCTAGTCGACGAACAGTCTAGGTGGCTTGGAAATTGCTTGGAAAACCCAGAAAAAAAATGTGTGTGTGTGTGTGGGGGGGGAAACAGGGACATAATTATATAATAATGATAATCTTAGAACTGCAGAGCTGGAAGAGACCCTCTGGAGCATCGGATCCAGCGCCTGTCAAGGAGACCCAGTGGGGGAATCGAACACCCAACCTCTGGCTCTTCAGCCAGAGACCTAAACTCCAGAGTGATCCTGTAGTTCTCTATGCAATTCAGAGAATCTGGACATGTAAAACAAAGCAACCTCAAATCATCTTTGTTGAGACACAGCCTAATAAACCTTTTTTTTTTAAACGGGGGAAATAACAGGGTGCCATGAAATCTACACTGGGTCATGTATTACAAAATGTCTGAATAACTGGATGTAAGGCCTCCATCCAGAAAGGAGGAGTTAGGCATGGCTCAGTCGTACTAAATTTAGTGAGATAATTTAAATGAGAACTCAGCCACCCACTCACGAGTCGGGCACTTAAACAGAAATTAAGACCAAGTCCTTGAGAAGACAGAGTGCTGAAATGAACCCTCTGGAGAAAACGAGAGAATCCGGTGTTGTTTCCAAACGGGTCCCCGCGCTGTGATCTGCAGGCTCCTTAAACAGGCCGATCCTGGAAGCCTGGGCATTTTGTAAAGCACTTTGTGTGCTGCTGCCGTTGTTTGCGACAGAGACACACGTTGGCGTCGTCGTTTTAGTTTGTTACATCCTCTTGCTCTTCCTCCTTCATTATATTCACAATGATGTAATTAAAATATATCATTACAGCATTGACGCTTGCCATTAAGCAGCAAAAAGATTTTCTTCAAGTAACATGAAGTCCCGAACTGCAACATTTTGGCCGCATAATTAACGTTGAGCCTGAGGACAAGGCTGGTAAACACCCGCACGCACACGCACACACTGAGAGATATGCTCAGCCTACAATGATTACAACCTCTAACAAGTCAGATCATAATTAACAAATATATATGGTGGAGAGTAAAACCGGAGCAAGATAAGAAAGGCAGGAAAAAATGTTATTATGGAGAATAGCCACATGAGACCACCGAGATGTTTACAGCTTCTCTCTCTTTCTCTCTCTCTCTTTCAATTTATTTAACCCACTTATGTTCCTCTTCCAAGTCCACTTTAGTTCAGCAGCTGGCTTATCCTGTCATTTAAAAAAATATCTCTGATATATTTATTTGGTTGGCTGTTCCACGTCCTTCGAGAAATCATTTCCAGCTCTTGATATGGACATATCTGCTCCTCGGCATACCGAAATGTGGTTGAAAACATGCCCCCCCCTCACATACCGTAATCCAAAACAGCAACAGTTAAAAAAACAAACAAACAAGCAACAACAACAAAACAGTGCCTTGGGAACAAGACTCAAAAGCAACCCAGACAAGTCTGGTTTTTTTTTTCTCCTGCCCTTTCCTCTTTTGTTAAATGAAATTACTGGTAATAAGAGGCCCACAGCCTTCGGAAGACCATCCCGGTGGCTGATGGCGGAAGGGACATACAACGGCCAGGCATGCAAATGCCTGGAGACCCAACGCGCACCCTTTCTGTCACCTCCTTCACGAAACCTTCCCACCTTCAAAAACTAAATTTAGCAGAGGTAGGAGACTGGGAGGCGAGGCGACAGGCGATACCTTTACAGGCCACTAACGAAAAAAAAATATTAAAGGAATCGTACAATGGGCAAGCGCTTGTGGGCAAATCCTACTTCTTCAAGTCCAAATGTTCACGGCAAAATGGATTTTGCTAGGCAAGTCACTCCTAGATGGGAAATCAAAGACAGCTAGGAAGCTCTCTCTTTATTTTTATTTTTTTTGAAGGTTCCCCTATTGCCGAAACTGACACCGGACACGGAAACCGCCGCCACCGCTGGCAGAAAGTAATAAAATTATATTTTTGTTGCATTTACAAAAGAAAGCCCCAAGAAGAGACAGCCACCCCTTGGAGCAAC